TAACGACTTAAAAGTCCCGCCTCCACCTTGCGGCTCCACAGTACGAATTGAAGAGAAGAATGTAAGATTTCTTGCCAAAGTTGTTTTAATTTATGATTATTTTTTAACTTATTCTTTTTTCGCACTGGAAAAGGAGATAGTCATTTGAGAAATGTACGTGTTCGGAGGTGTCGAGGTAGTCACTGATTTATTTTGTTCTCAAGGAACTGATAGTGGAAGGGAGAGAGGAGGGACGGTGATGAACAGCCCACTATGAGATCGCAGTGACCCTCGAAAGTGCAACCCTCGAAAAGTGAATAGTGCGAGCAAAACAGGGGGGGAGACTCACGGTGGTGACGGGCCATATACATATGTAAGGGCTGTGTAGATCGGGAAGGCTGATCAGCAGAAGTGAAGAAAGACCTATTAAGGTTGCAATGTCATGCAAGAGAAGCAATTTGAAAAAGAATCGGTTTTATAGGTAAAGTTAGTCGAGAACACGGTAAAGCTAAACTTAACACTGGTTGATACACCCGGTTTCGGTGATGCTGTCAATAACACCCGATGGTGAGTATTTTTACTTTGAATTTATCATCTGGCGATAAGTATAGGAACTCCTGATTGCATTTCTGCTTAGCTCACGATTTGAATAGTACTCCTTTTTTTATTCATCATTATTCAGTTGGGAGCCCATCATTCACTACGTCGATGGCAAATTCCTTGAATTCTTTCATGAAGAGACGAAAATTGAGAGAAAAGAGCGACCCGTTGACAAATGTGTACATCTTTGCTTATACTTTATTGAACCCAGTGGTCATGGGTAAGTAATGTTTGCAACTCTTTTATTATGGCATTACTGGTTCTTTATTCAGACTAAAGCCGCTGGATATTGAGTTTATGAAGCAGCTTCACACACGCGTCAATATTGTGCCAGTTATCGCTAAGGCAGACTGTCTAACAAAAGATGAATTGAAGAGATTCAAAGCACAGGTTCATTTCGAAAGCTGTTTTAGTTTTATTGTTGTGTGCTTTCGTTCAATGTTTCTTAAAAAACGTCCTGATGTGAGGTTATTCGTTTAAGATCAACAAGGACATTATCGCGAACGAAATCAAGTTGTACAAATTTCCAGAACTGGATGAAGAGAAGGATAAGGTTGCTCTTTAATGCTCTTCAAATTTGTTGTTATAAATAACATCCCTATGGATTTGGTTCATCTTCCGACAAGGAATCATCTCTCGATTCTTTTTTTGTTCATATCTAATTGCTGATTGCAAGATTCTGGTCGTCGTATTCTGTGTTGCGGAATTGTAGACTGCTGCTCTCGGTTTTTTTTTGTTTAAAGAAATTTCCTTTAGTTTCACCTGCAGATCTCACGACCCAGTAGATAGATAGAGGGGATGAAAAGAAATGTGGCCTTGTTGGAATGCAAGGGTTTCGTTCTGTTATTCCTGGTTACCGCCCCATTTTATGGGATTCGCAATGACGTATAAATCAAAATGAGAGGACGCAAAATGTGCTTACTTAGGGGGTGGCGTAGAGGTGGCGTAACTGATCTGCAAGCGTTAAGAGTCTTGTTGGCGCTTTATCAAATTCCAAGGAAGCTTAAAGTTCATCGATAGGAGAGATTCTAACATTCCCGGTTACGGTTCCAGTTCTACGTACGCGTTTCTAATAAGGCCGATCGCTTATATTTTAATTTTTTATTTTGTGTTTTATGCATCATCATTGTCACCTTGTACTGAAAAACAACTACCGGAAATTTTCAAATGATTGTCAATTGCTCTAATGGCTCACTTAATCTTTTGACTACCTGTGGTACACCTACTACCACTACATGCATTACCACTGGTAGCCACAGGTTAACCAGCCACCAAAGGGCAGTTCTGTTTCCAAACAGATTTTGTGGAATACCATAAAGACCAATCAGCACACTACTATGATATGACTAGACTTATCTCTGCAATCAAATTTGCTAAAAAAAATTCAAAAATAAAGAAATTTGAGCTTCTCTTTTTGAGGTCGCCAGTGAACGATTAAGAAATTGCCTACCATTTGCTGTAGTTGGTAGCAATTTACTGAAAGAAGAAGGTGGGAAGAAAATAAGATATAGGTGAGTTCAATTTCCTAGTGAGGAAAAAACTCCCGTTCCTCTTGATTCGTCGAAGTTTCAGGGAATATCCATGGGGTATTGTGGAAGTGGAGAACATGGCCCACAATGACTTCATTCCACTTCGTGATATGGTTGTGCGGACAAACTTGATAGACATGATTGACGTGACACGGTCTGTACATTACGAAAATTTCCGTCTCCGTCAAATGGACAAGCTTCCGAAGCATGTTATGGACAGGTAAGTAATTTTGCCATGGAAAAACGTCTGGTTCCAGTCCCATGCTCAGAAAGAAAGCTCCTTGCCAACATAACTCTCGAATCTTAGAGATCCATTTACGCAGATGGAGGAGGATCGCAAAAAGAAGGAACAAGAGTTAGCTGAGAAGGCCAGAGCTTTTGAAAAGGTCTGTTGTAAGGGATTAAATGAGACTGCTGTTTTTTTTTGCGTTTTTAAGGCATGTCTATGAATTCCTTATCTTCAGACGTTTGCTGATCGAGTCCACGAGAGAGAAGCCAAAATTAACGAAAGGGCAGCAAGGGTAAGAGCGATTTAGTTTAGAGGGTGCAGCATTTGAGAAGTGTGCAGTTACGACGCGGCATTGAACAATAGTAGAAGGTCTTCATCTTTTCCCTAATCACCCAGGCGAATTTTTATGCAGGAATCATCCATCAAAAGTGAGGTTGTGTATAAGTTTTAGGCTTTTTTACACTCATCCGTTGCTAATTTGGCTACTCATAACTGTCGTTCCGTGTCGCTACAGTGCGCTTCATTTTTGCACTTCCTCTTACGCGCCCATGTGCGCAAACCACATTACATTACCATTTATTTTCTGATTTCTGTACTGTTTAATTTTTGGACCTACTTTCAGTTGGACATACGTGAACACGATTTGAAGGAGGAGATTGAGCTGCGCAAGGCCGAACTAGAGAAGGTCAGACGTGAGGTGAGCCAACCATCCTTAGATAAATTTAATCAGATGCTTCCATCCCCTGTAAGGGATCAACCGTACACTATCACTTAGTAAGGAAGCAGAGAAGCTTGCAACGAATGATATTATTCGGGTTTTCTTAAAGGCAAGATTCAGGATTGAATTATGAGTTAATTCCACTCAAATGTGAAAGTAGGGGTAGGTAGTGGACCGCCAGTGGAGAAAAAGAAAAAAAATCGTGAAATACACAGGAAATACGAGCCTTTTGCTCTACGCTGCGGAGAAGTTCAAAAGGCCGGCAGGGAGATGAGAGATAATGTGAGCGCGGAGAGCGCTAGAGAAGTCTAAGTAGAGAGAGCATAGCAGATCAACATTCCGACGCAGACAAGATATCGAGCGGTGGGCGGAGCGTGTCGCAGCAGGTGGAGCGTGTCAAAGTTCTTAGCGCCTAGCGTCTAAATAACGGTTTTCGAAGTAGGGAAGTGACGCGACCTCTACACTTGCGTACCTAGCGCTTCTAGCCACCGTAAAGGCTCATTAAGTGGGTCTGAGCCCGAACTTTGCCTTTAAGTTACTCACATTTGATCTTGTTTCTGTTTAAGGTGGAAGATTTGCGAAGGGGCAGTATTGGTGACTCAAAAACATCGCTGTCGATGACGAATGAGAATTCCGGCAAAAACTCACCGACGGACAAAATCAAGAAGAAGTCAGGAACGCTGGGTCTTTTCAACCGAAATTAATATGTTGTTTAAACTGTGTCTTTAATCGTCTCGTCATTACGAAAGTTAAATGAATGATGAATGCATTACATTCTGCCGTTTTGAGAGAAGGCTCGTAATTTATGCGCTTATCGGTGTCAGTGCCAGGCGCCGCGCGCTGCTCCACAAATAGCGAAAAACCAACAACAGCTTACAGCGGAGGAAATAGCCTATTGACTAGAATCGAGGAGCAAGGTGAGATGTTGGGGGCTGACGTTTTGGTGGAAGGGGGACATTTAATGTGCCTAGAAGAGATCGTTAGGTGGGTGTGAAGCCACGATTGAACATACATTAGTGCGAATCACACCCTTCTGTGCATGACAGAGTGGATAGTTTAACTCTTTGGCTATACATAACGGAGTTGGTCTCACAGTTCTTGCAGAATTGAGGATCAGTGACAGGTTAGCACACTTTACGGTTGGAAGCCTCAGAAAGCGTAAAAGTGTAGAGTGTGAAATAAATCCGTTCGAGGAAATTGGTGATGCATCTTATGAATGCATCGCTGTGACTGTAAAAAAAGATTTTAGGAGGCAGTATGTTCTAAGTACCGTTCGTTTAAAAAACGAGAAGAGCGTCGGGTGCAGACCATACACCACAAGTGACGACGGCCTCCAAGTAAATCTGGTTAGTAGTGGTTCATAGTGATAGCTGATTTTTGGTAAATGATAGTTGTAATTAGTGACAACTGATAGAATACAACTGCAACAGGCTAATCATTTCATTGGCAGAAAACATTTACATTTTGTGGAGGCCGTCGTCACTTGTGGTGTATGGTCTGCACCCGACGCTCTTCTCGTTTTTCGAAAAAGAGTGTGCTTTTCGGTCTTGTTTGCAGCTTTGTTCTGGCATAGGATGAATTCCGTCCCCAATCAGGATCTACCGTCCGTTCGGACTGTAGGGTCGTATTTAGGATTTCGGGATAGAGTTGTATCAGGGTGACCACGGTCAACAACTCCTGAAAAGTGTGAAAGGGGGTCGTATTCGTATGGTTGAAGGGACAGTGGTTGCGGGTAATCTCACCAGGAAAGTTTTTCAGGGTATGGAGCGCTTTTTCCTAACACTTTTTTGGATGCTATAGAGAGGGATAGCAGCTGAGAACAATTTTTTCTGAGCGACTCTGCGAATGCCAAGAAACATGGAAACAGTGGGTTCAGTTCGATTCAGAACTGAGGGCAAATTTTTGCATTTCTCTTGTTTCCACATTCTTGAGCTCTTATATGCCTAAATTTATGCAGTGAACGAAAAGCTTCCGGAATGCAATCATTCGACGCTTCAAATGCTGTGGAGCTTATTAAAAACGGAAAATTTACTCCACAAAGAAAATTTTCTGCCCTTTTCATGACAGTCCCAAGGCCGCTTCGAAAAAGAAATGATCTTCTGTTTCGTGTCCACGTACGTGTCCCTGTAATATGCAGCAAACCATTTCGAATAGCGCTCCATGACGTGGAAGATTTTCTTGGTTCGAATCAAACAGTGGAAACATACTTGGTGGTGGTCCTGGTGGCTAGGAGGGTCGCATTGGGGGAGGGAGGAGAATTCTAACACTAATGGGTAGTGGCATTACGTTAGAACTCTCTCCCTCCTCCCCCATGAGATTCCCACTTCACAAGTTTTTGAGGTTTTTCTCAGTGGAACTTGTATGAAGAGCATCGATTCAGGGTTTAGTCGTAGTATGTACTTCGTTACCACACGATACGTGGAAATGCGCTATTTCAAGTAAAACAGTCTAGCCAACGCTCACCACGAAGACCGTGTTGCCATTACTTCCTACCATTACCTTAGAGTCCGCAGTATCGTATTTTTGAGAACCGTAGAAAAGTTCTAAAGCAATGTCCATCATTTGCCACTTCGTAATTTGGCAAGTGCCTAGGGGTTGTCCAAAATAAGAGAATCACAGCCGGGCTTAGCCTATAGGTTTTCGGCATCAGGTAAAGTCATCCTATCTCACTAGAATAGTAGACGATTGGAGTGTCACCATTCCGTTCTATATATGATTACTTCTGCCTGGACCAGCACGGATAGCCATGACCAACATCCAACGTCAGTGAAGAAGGGTGGTGGAGGAAGAAGAATCAAAAATGGGCGAAGAAGACCACAGCTGTCAAGGCTGCTATCAGCACTTTAAAGGCGTACCCAGCTGGCAGTACTCATAATGACGAAATGGCGGTCTTGGTACGTTGATGGTATATGCTCACACACGTCTGGCTTCCGTCTAAGGGCCCGTGAAACGGGCCCTTAGACGGAAGCCAGACGTGTGTGAGCAATGTGAGGGAAACGGAAGTCAGACTGATTCTTTGCGATTCCCCCTATTATTTTACCTAATTTCTTTGTCTTTAATCAGTTCTTCATTTCTTTGGTACGTTGAGGCTAAAAAAGGATGGATGCCAATCATTACTACGTTTTAAACTTCGAAGTTCAAGCAATTCAATAGCTGCATTGCAAAAAGTGAGCAAATTAGACCAGGTGATGATAAAACCTGGAATTTTTTTATTGGAGAGCCTTGTACCCTACTCTCACACTGGATCGCACGATCATTTGAAAGCGAGTCGGCCTACAGAACAGCTACCGAAGCTCAATTTATTTTTACTGGGCAGTATATCACTGCTTCATCCCTTCAGATGAGTCTGACACCAGTTAACGGACCCCGGAGGAATGGAGGGTGGTGATAGTAGTTGGGGCGGGGGAGAGGCGCCGCCACCGAGGATGTTTTTACCCGTGATATTTGACCATACTTGAGATCTTTCGCTTCTTAAAGGACGAATTCACGATTAGAATGAAAGTCGAAGAAGGAGTAATTCACCTAGTTGAGGGACCCGCGGACCTCCTAAGGGTGCGGACTGAAGCGCAATTGGCACCGAAGGAGTTGACCTCGGCGACCTATTAAGGCTCAATCTTGGCGCGGTGGGCCAGTGCACGCCCACCGACTCGCCGCAGGTCTATGCGTGGATCAGATAGCGGAGAGAGCGTAGTGTTGAAGAGGGCACAGCGATGAGAGTCGCATCAATGCTCAAATCAACGGGCAAGGAAGGGGTCCCATTTCTCGGGTTCTGGGCCGTTTCTCATGGTTCTTCCTTCTTTCGTGTACCACTCACCATCCCTAGGTTAATTTGAAATGGGTTGCTTTTTCGTCGTGAATTCGTCCTTTAACGTCTGCTAAGGAAGGAGAAAAATAGCGGTGTGAAAGAGAAACCTCGAAAGAAAGAACGCAAGAAATCAAAACATTACAATTAAAAGTGTTCTCACTTGGGTCGACTTGGCAACACTTTCTGGAGAAATCGGCTCAGTTTTCCGCTATTGTTACCTTTCACAAGAAGCGTCTTACTCATATAACAGACATGGATTGTTGAGACGCGCTGGAAAACGAGTAAAACTGTCCATTTAAACGTTAAAGGAAGCGATTACGGTAAGAAAGGGCCGCATAGG